TACTGATCTTGGTTGTTCCATACTGATGACCTCATCACTCAGTGTTCTTTCTCTCACTTTACAAGAGCTTCAAGTTGTGATGGGAGAACTGTTGCTGCCATTAGATGTCATAGTATGAATGAGTTTAATAGTTTGTATTGTTTAATATTATACCAACAGATTGTACTGATGGGGAAATTAAGATCATTCCATACAGCTCTTATTACTCAAAACTGATTGGTAGATTAGAGGTGTGTGTTAACGGTGCATGGGGAGTAATATGTAGAGATTTCTTTGATAACAATGATGCTGCTGTTGCCTGTAAACAACTGGGATACACATCAACAGGTATTGCCTGGTCATTTTTGACATTATAGATAAGTGTTTGTCTCTCTATTGTAGGCTCATTAGCAATTAATGATAGATCTTATTATTCTGGAGCAATAGACATTAATATTATTGATTTGAACTGTACTGGTAGTGAAAATAACATTTGGAACTGTCCCAGCAATGCTTTATTAGGACAGCATACTTGCACATCAATCTACTATTTTGCTGGAGTTGCTTGTCACAGTAAGTCAAATAATTGTAGTAGTTACTATTTTCAAATTACTATTGTTCATAATAGTTGCATCATCAGTTAATTATGCTAACTGTACAACTGGTCAAGTTAGATTATCTGGTTCCATGGAAGGTCGTGTTGAACTGTGTCATGATAATGTGTGGTATGGTGTATGCGGAGATAGTTACTATTATATATCTCCAGTTGTCTGTGGAAACATTGGATATCAACAAGGTTTTATACTTATGTGCATTATATTGTTAAAGCCTTGTTCATAGAAAGTGGATATCGGAGCAACTTTCCAGAACTTCAAGATTTGCCATTGTATCCATATGAGTTTTATTGTAGTGGTACAGAAAGGTCATTGTTGGAATGTTCAAGATACACTAGTAGTTGCTATAGTTCAGCTAATTACTATTATGGTGATTATGCTGGTGTGACTTGTCAAGGTATGGCATGCAATTATATGATTATAATGCCATGTGATGAATATTAAATCCCGTATAGATGCCTGTCAAAATGGAACAGTGCGTCTTCAAGGCTCTGGTTATTCTACTATGGGTAGAGTGGAGATCTGTACCAATAATGAGTGGGGAACTATATGCAGAGACAGTTTTGATGATAATGATGCACGTGTTATATGCAGTCAATTGGGATATTCGCCCTATGGTAAAATATCGACATTATTACTGTTTATTTTAAAACTTTAATTGAAGGGGCTATTGTACTTCCTTCTTATTATTACTATGACTACAGAGTCACTCCTATTATCTCTGATCTTAACTGCACTGGTACTGAAGGAGCAATTTTGGACTGTCCTTACATTGAACAAGGTTCCTACTCCTGCAGTAGATACTATGATGCAGCAGTAATCTGTCAAAGTATGTAAATTACTTGTGCTACCATTAATCCATAATACTCTATTGAAGATAATGCTACTACTAGTGTCAGTTATAATTGTTCTGATGGTGATGTACGTTTGATTGGTGGTATCAATGATGCTGAAGGACGTGTTGAAATGTGTTACAATAACTTCTGGGGGCAAGTTTGTGATAGGTCATGGAGTACATCTGATGCTAATGTAGTGTGTAAACAACTTGGATACCAATCTACTGGTATTTTAAAGTATTACATTTTGTAGTATAATTTCTCATAATATTAGGTTCTACTGCATATTGGTCTAGCTATTTTGGAAATGGACCAGCTTCTCATATTATCTCAAATCTCTATTGTGGTGGATTTGAGTCGTCTCTGCTAAGTTGTAGCAGGAGTAGTAGTAGTTTCAATACAGCTGCTCAATATTGTGGTGATAGTAGTGTAGCTGGTGCTGTTTGTTTTGGTTAGAATTTTGACATTAACAATGATCTAAAATGAATTATTCTTTGAATAGGCACACTAGCAGAGAAATGTGAGAATGGTGCAGTGAGACTTGTTAATACTTATACTGATGCTACTAATGTTGGTAGAGTTGAATTGTGTATTGGGAATACATGGACTACACTATGTGATCAAAGCTGGGATCTCGAAGATGCACAAGTCGTCTGTAGACAATTGGGATTCTCTATATATGGTTCATTTTATTATTTTTAATTTTAAATAGTGAATTTATTTCCAGGTGCTTTACCTGAACATAACTGTTATACCGAAAGCCAGCTATCATTTGGAATTACTGACCTCAATTGTACTGGTGATGAAGATCACTTGCTTAATTGTTCACACAGTAATGCTGCATTACACAACTGTCAGTCTCATCATGATGCCAGTGTTGTATGTCAAAGTAGGTTATTATAACATCATCAATTATTGTTATATATTGTTTAAAGGAACTGCTTATCAAGCTAATTGCACTAATGGTCAAGTGAGACTGGTTGATGGTAGCACAGAAGATGATGGTAGAGTTGAAATATGTATCAATCAGGCTTGGGGAAGCATCTGTTCCTCTGGCTGGAGTATTCAAGATGCATTTGTAGCGTGCAAGCAATTAGGGTAAACTAATGATATAAAATGCATAATTATAATATTAACCCAATTTTATTTGTATAGATACATTGGAGGAGAAATAAAGTCTATCAGTTCAGGGGCTGGTCCTATTCTTATGTCGCATTTATACTGTAATGGAGATGAGGCATCACTACTTGATTGCAATCATCAATCTTGCTATGTATCAGCATGCAGTTCTCCAGATGCTGGAGTCACGTGTGAAAGTATATTTCATTACAACCTTATATTAAGTACATGTACATGTATATATAGGACCTTGTAACAATGGAAGCATCAGGATTGATATTTATTCAAGCTATAGTAACCCTATTGGGGCAGTAGAAGTATGCATGAACAATACCTGGAATACAATATGTAGCAATAATTGGACAAAAGCAGAAGCCAGTGTAGCCTGCTCTCAGTTAAGCTATTCACCTTATGGTTAGTTATATGAAAGTAATATAGTGTCAGTGATTGCTGCTTTAAGGTGCTTTTGCTAGTACCTATCAATACACTCAGAGCATTTGGCCACTCGGACTTTATAATTTATATTGCAATGGAAATGAAACTAGTATTTGGGATTGCTCATATTCTCTAACAAATACATTTGGATCTAGTTGTACTCAATCAAGACAAGCAACTCTCAAATGCCAATGTAAGATATAAATAAAAATTTCAGAAATAACTTTATGCCTATTCTTAGCCATAACAACTAAGTATGTGAACTGTACTGATGGTGATGTAAGACTAGTAGGAGGACAAACAAAGAATCAAGGAAGTGTGCAGATTTGTTACAACAATGCCTGGACATATTTGTGTAGTGGGTGGTATTGGGGTACTACTGAAGCTAATATACTTT